AATTCCTTACAATGTAGCCAGTAAAGAATAGAGGATATGGGAAAGTTGTATGCAATAAAAAATACAATCATAAAGTAGGAAGATCAATTGGCTCTACATTAGTAAAAAGAATGTTTGGCTTTTAAAATTCAATATTTAAATATTTTACTGTTAATTTATTATTTCAAGATTCTTAAATATTAGCTCACATTTATCTCTCATGAAAAAGGCAATTTAAATATCTACATATTATTAAATGAAAATAGGGTTATACACTTTATAATCTCACTGAATCTGGCTGGTTAACTCTTGCACCATTTGAAAGAAGGCTTTCGGCCACCCGGCTGACCCCACTTCGACAGGCAAGGTGCAATGGCGTATCGCCCGAACAATTGACAATACTGGGGCTTGCTCTTCTCGACAAGAGTAGCTCTACTATGTCAGCATCACCGGAAGCTGCAGCCTTGTGCATCGGTGTGTCCTCAAGCTAGCATAAATTGGAGGAGAATGGAAACTTTGCAAATAAATTACTCTAACTATCTCCACCATACTATGAAAAGTTCAGCTATGCAAAAAATTGAATACTAACTCTCATCAAGCAATTATAAGTTTTAGGCTTTTATTGAGTTACATTAGAGGCAGTAGATGCAAAAATGTTAAACTATCTATATGTATTTTTATAAACTTATTGATTTATAGTAAGATTGGTTATTTATGATTTATATTTTTTAAATAGTTAAAATGTAAAAATAGAATTTATTATTTTGCATATGGTCAAAATTAACATAGTAATTTGTGGTATAATAAAAAATTTTAATGTCTGATATTTGATTAATCATTAATTATTTTAAAATTCCCTTCTTCTTCTTCCATTAAGGATCCAAGAGCTTAGAACACCAATCACATCGGTGCATTAGCCTAATCAACTAAAGTAGCATTGTATAATATATTCAAATGTAGCTTGTCCCTGCTTCCTGACCAACAGTGCTTGAAACTATTATCAGGAAACAAGTATGGTAATTAACGATATGTCCTATATGAGAAACACAGTATTATATAAAATTGATGAAAACATCAGTTTTTTTCTACCGACTCCCTATTATGTAACTTAACTATCATAGACTCTGCTCATAAGAATGATTTTTGCAGGAATTGGATTTTGCAAGCGTTAAGGTCACCAAAATGATTCGTTTGATCTCATCGATACATGCACAATATTCTAAGAGAAAATGGTTGTCCTGAACATGTCAAATATTGAATATAGATCAATTTTATTCAAGATATTCGTGGTTAGCTAGCCAGGTGGTATAATTTAATTTTCTTAGGTAGACCGTCTAGAAGATTTCCCTCTATAAAGACAAAAAATAGGATAAAAGAAGAAATTATCAATGGTAAAGCCACCCGATTATTACTGTGGAGATTTTGCTTATTAACTACTAAGCTTGGGTTCAAGCAATCATTCTAAATAGCGTGAACTTGGAGGATATTTCAGTTATATTTAATATTATTTAAGAATATTATTAATTTATTATCATTTAGGTCACGAAAATGACTAGTGATATTATATCCATGATGTGAGGCTTTATGACAAGTTCCACTAAATCAAATCGCTCGTGTGTTATAAAAAAGGATTATGAAACAAACAATTAAAAGGTAATTTTTCTTCTATAAACAAAATTTAGCTGCTACCAGCAGATCATATACACGAGCTGTATTCATCCTTTTTTATTTGTGGGGATTAAGCACTGATAATAGAATAATACCACAATTATATACGTAGATCTTACATTTAAATTGTAGTTCGCATAGCCTAGCTTCCAAAAAGGTATTCTCATTTAGATTTGAGTACAGTTTCAGCCTTTGTTAAATCCTATCAACAACCCATACAGGACTCGAACTCTAGTAATGCAGTGTATAATCTCGAAATTTCAACCCCACTTGTACGAGTTGCCTTGGGTCATAGGGTTTTTGTGCATTTGAAGGAAGGCCAGGCTTATTCCTATAACAGATTCTATGATGGGACGAGCAAGCAAATGAGCATTTTCTGTAATAGTTGACTAAATTACTTATTATTCGTTTATAAGTAAGTTTTAGTGACTACTAGTAGGTAATATATATGAGGGCATCATTACCTTAAACGAACTAGGATAAATGCATCTAATATAATTGACAAGTAAGTTTGCTTGTAATTCGAACCCTTTACATTTTCATTTTTTGCGTTGATATTTGCTCCAGCATCTACAAGCACTCGTATGATATCTGGATGGCCGATTAGGCTTGCAATATGAAGTGGAGTATCACCATTTTCATTCCACTCCTCTATATCTGCACCTCGTCGAATACATTCAGCAACCAGGTTAGGACTTCCTTCCTTGACGGCATCATGAAGTGAGATTAAATTATCTTTAGTTGAAGGCTAGGAATAAAGCATTAAAATGAGTTAATTTATTATATTAAATTGTTTTTTTTCACTAAATAAAAAAGATATTGCAAAATTTAGCAGAAAATTAGCTAGCTTAATGACCATATTTGTTCATACAATAAATATTATAGGAATACTGGAAGAGTATTTTAAAACATCGGAACAGTTTTAGCCTAGCTCTGTACAATCACTTTCTGAACTTGAATTGAGTTGTATTCATCATATTTCTTTTAAGATGATGAAGGACTGTTAGTTGGTTTTTCCCACAATGATATGAGTAGAGCTGACGTTTCTATTGAATTTTACATAACCTTGCTTTTCCAAAAGGTGTTCTCATCAAGGGTTGACTGCAGTTTCGACCTCGCATAGTTCTTATAAACACCCTAAATGGGAGTTGAATTATGACAGTGTAGCGTATAAGCTCAACACATTGACAACTATGCCACATTACCACAAGTGTCCCTGGGTCACAGGGCAGATGTGAATTTCAAGGAATGTCAGACATTTTTTATATCACATTCTGTGTTGCGATTGTTGATGAAACAAACTTATATTTGTTAGAGAACCGACGACACAACATTTTGTGAGTGAGTAAGCTTTAGAGACTACTAGTAGATAAGATATATAAATTGTATTCAGCACATTTTCTTCAAGGCTGTATAGAGTAAATCGGCAGACGAAAAGCTCGCTTAGTTTCAGCTTTTGTAGCGGATAAAGCCTGTTACTAAGATTGAAGAGAAGTTGACTAGTAACTAAATGGATAAAATATTGTCAACTAAAATAGGTGGGACATAAACTATACTAATAGTTTATGTAAGATGCTGAGGTACTCGTAATAGAGCAGTAAGTACTAGGGAGATCGAGCAGTTGAGGTGAAGCCTCCTCAGTAGAACTCAATGTTTAGGTGCAGATCAACTTCTGGTGTTCAGGGTAAAATGTCCATATAGTCCATCTACTAATAATTAAGGAGAAAAGCTAGAAGTTTTGTAGATGCTATAGGGCAGAAGTTAAGAGCTGAGATGCGCTGAAAAATCGAAAGTGTCCCCATTTGGAGTTCGGAGTCGCAATAAAATTGTTTATAAGGTAAATGAGTCAAATTCACGCTGATTGATCTCTGATTGGACGGACAATGTAGAAGATTTGAATAGATCTGTAACCTTAACTGGGCGAAAAATTTTCGTAATAAAAAGTAGGATGAAGTTGAGAAAAGTGCTTTAAATAGATAGATTTTGTCCCAGACGGTAGTGAAATCGGTGGTCAGCTTGCTGAATCGGAATAAAGAATAAGCATCCGGAGACCTACAAGTAAAATGCAACAAAGCAAGGATTGGACAACAATTGGACCTACTATTTATTGCGCGATCAGCAAAACGTCAGGGGCAATAAGTACCAGATAAAAACTGCTAAGTTTAAGTGGAGTGCCAAATAAGGCCAAATTTTAGGAAAGAGAGGGTCAAAAACGTGGTTAGTATGA